GGGGGGGGGGGAGCAGAGGCCAATGCTTGGCTTTGCAACAAGCCACCCTCCCAGTTAATTTGTGCTCATTTAAAAACAGAATTAACATCAGAAGGGGTACGGACCCTGTGCTGGGCGCCTCTGCACACACTTAATTCAAACTTGGTCACAGAGAGGGCAGAACTCGAGAGCTGCTCTGGCATAGTGGTTAGAGCGCTCAGCTTGGACTCAGGAGACCCATGTTCTAGTCCTCACTCAGCCAGGAATTTCCCTGGGTAATTTTGGACCAGTCACGAACTCTCAGCCTAGCCTACCTCACAGGGTTGCTGTGAGGATGAATTGGAGAAAAGGGGGACTACGGGAGCCACCCTGGGTTCCTTGAAGGGAAAAAGGCAAGGTATCAAAGTCATCAACGCTTAGCACATTGTCTGGCACCCCAGCCCCTTGAGGAGGGGTGGGCTATACATCCAACATAAATAAAGAGGTATAGGATTAGACATTATAAGAGTACTGCCTTACTTAATTCCCAGTCCATCCTTACTTCTGAAGATGAGGGGGGCTCTAAGGGCTTCGCGTTGCACGTACTCAAAAGTGAAATCTGGTTGGGAGAGAAAATGGGGGGGGGGAGAAAGAGCGTGAGGACTCTGCTGGAAGCGGCCCATCGTCTCACCAGGCGCCGCCAGCCCTTCTGCCCACACCGCTGAATCTCAGGCGCCCGAACTTGAAGCCGCCCTCGCCAAAGACGGCGACTGCCCTCGCCATTCCTGTGAATTTAGGTATTTCAAAGGGCCCCATTCAGCTGCCATTCATCCTAGATGAGTCCAGGACAGGCGGCAGCAGTGAGATCAGTCGAACAAAACGTAAACATTCCATCGAACCGAAGGGCCACAGTGCCCCAAAGCCACCAAAAAAGCTTGGGGAAAGGTGATGGTTTTGACTGTGCCAAAAGATCGCAGCACTGGCCCCAGGGGAATTAGGGAGAGTGTTCTCCGTTTGGGTGCCACCACAGAAAAGACCATCTCCTAACAAGGGAGGTGAGCAGGATAATGCAGCAACAGAAATTTGCAGTGGCTTTTTAAGCCTCTTCAATCGATGAAGCATCTTGTCTCCCTTTCCACTTTTTTCTTCTTTTTTTGGTCCAGGTGCCTCCTTTTCCCTTCCCCAGGCCACTCACAAAATTTTGCCACAGTGAGATTTAAACAAAGACGAAAGCACATACTGCTCTGCTCTTCAGACACTCGGGGCCTGCAGGCACAAAATGCAGGCACTTGTTTGAGCTAAGCAGGGCTGGATCTGGCCAACAGTGAGATGAACGTATTCTTGGGAGTTCGCATTCTGGCCACCTTGAATTCCATGATGGCAGAACATATGAAGATACATATATATGCACTATTAAAAATGCTATGGATCCAAACTTGTCATTACAACCACTGAAATCAATTAGGTTTCAGTTAGACTAATTGTGTCTAACTAGTAATTTGTTCAACTATTTTCAAGAGGTGAATGGTAATTCGCTACCGGACAAACAAAAAGATATTTGCTGCTGTATCGTTACAAGAATGATTAATTAAGGCTGCAAGCCTATGTGAAGTTCCCTAGGCATAGGACCCTCTGTACTCAGGGGGCTAACTTTTGAGGAGACATGACCAGGAGTTGTACTGAAGATCATTTCACTGAATCTCTCGTCTGTGTTTTAATTATCCACCCGGAGAATCCTATCAATAGGATCAATTCCCAGGAAAACAGTCTGATGTGCCCGACAGATCCCACCAGGGCTGGCTGGGAAATTATGGTTGCCATAGCGGGGTTTAAACATGCGCAGGATCGTGCCTTACTTTACAGTGCCATACGATTTGCACAGTTGTTGGCAAATTGTAGTAACTATGAGTTCAGGGCAAGTCAGTTTTCATATTTTAAAAACAACTATTTTATTTTAGATATTCCACTCTAGCACACAGTGAAAAAAATCTGCTCTTCCCACAAGTGGTAATTTTCATTTACTGAATTGTAGACTTATGGTTTCTTCATGCTTTTTTTTTCTTGAGGGGTAGATCATTAAGTTTTTACACTTAACCCTGCTCAGGACAGAGACAGACTCAGCCCTACCCTCCTTTGATCCGCACAAGCACTCTAGGAGAGCAACTCAAGGTCATCCGACATCCTCCACTGGCAGGGCCGAAAAAGGTTTGCAGCGCGGCGCCCCCATGAATCTAAGGTGCCTTTATTGGCATCTTGATAATTAAAATGCATGTATAAATTAACTAATTGGTTAAAAAGCCAAATAAAAACCAATCACAATTTCTTTAAACTGCTGCTAGCACAAGCTACATTGGTTTAAAAATCCAGCTTGTTAAAATCTTAAAAGCTGCAATTTAGAAAGGCACTTCCTAGGATGTAATCCTCATTCAGTACTGTGAGGCCTGCCTCTGCATCCTAAATCCACACTGTTACTAAGGAGTAAGGCGCACAGCCAGGCCAGGCCCCTTCACTGCACTGTAAAAACCATGGCAGCCTCAATGGCAAAAGATCACACAGACCAGAACAACTGCATTTTGTATTTCTCTACTCCACCTGGCCCACGTGCCAAAGTCTTCTAGGGAAAAAAATCAAACAAAACCTAAAAATGAGCCAGGAAACAGCATCTATAAAATAAACGCCATATGGACTAGAAGCATGAATGGTGAACCATATGTATCCAGCTATCCGATGAAGAATGCAAATGCATTCCACACCTGGGTGACAAAATGATATTTCTATTTATTCAGTATATATTTACCATGACAGTTTTGTTGCCCATTACGTTATGCAATTATCCCAATGCTTAACAGTAGGGAAAACATTTGCATGGTTCATCAGATGGCTAGACAAGGGGTTCCTCATATGGCTTCTATTTTCTGGTTCATTCTTAAGTCTTTGTTTACTCCCCCCCCCACACACACACACATTTTTGCTCTCTTGGCTTTTATGGATTCGGTCACACAAACCCAGAGGGGCAGAAACAGGAACGGCCCTGATTCAATGGCGGGCACACGCCTCGCGACACGCCTCGCAACTGGCCGTGCGCAAGAGCGCCGGATTAGCCGAGAAGGGGAGGCCGGCCCGCCGTGACCGGTGGGAGCGTGTGCAAGGGCGTCTTGGGAGCAAACGGGCCGTATGGCCATCGCAGCGACCCGCCTGCAACCACCCGGCCAACGCGGGAGCCGGGCAGGCCAGGGGTGACTCCGCCATCTGCTGCGCACACAGCCCTGTGGGCAGAAATCGGGGAGATGCAGCTGCTGCAGCGGCAAGGCGCGTGTTCCACGAGCAAATTCCCCTCGCAAGGCAATGCAGTGCAAGGCAAGGCAATGCAGGGAGAGGGGAGGCAAGAGGCACGAGAGCAGAGCGCACGTCTGCAAATGGGCCGTTTCCTGGCCAGGTCCTCTCCCCCCTCCGGTGTGTGGATCACCCATTCACTGCCTCCTTCCAACCTCGCTCCCCTCCCCTCCCGCTTTTCGTCACCGGATCCCCTGGAATGGGGGATGCTGGCGGGAAATACGAAGTTCATCGACCAATTTGCACGTGGAAAAGCCGTCGGGGATTCGCAAGGCGGAGCATACATCCATTCGTCTACCCGGCCGCCCCGCCAGGCCGGCGCGGACAAAGCCACGCGGGTGCGCAGCCCGGGCGAGCAGGCCCCGCCGCCCGCCCGCCCGCCCGCCCTCCGGGCGCTTCGCACGGCCGTGTTACCTTTCCCGTCCATGGGCCGCACGAAATCCCCGCGATACATTTTGCTCCTCAGCTTCTCCTCCAAGTTGAAGCCGCGGATGCTGACGATCTCTTCCACGTCGGACAGGTCCTCGTTCTCGTCGTAGAGCCTTCGGCCGATGGATCGCTGCAGGAGGAGGACAGGATGGATGCAGGGCACCCCGAGCCCGCGCACGGCCGGCTGCCCGCACGTGTGCATGCCTGCAGACGTGCACAGACAGCGCTAGAGCGTCGTCTGAGTGCGCCTCTGTGCTCGCGGGGCTGGGCTAGCTCTAGGCGAGGATCGGGCGCAAAACAAAAGCCAACGTGGAAGCGACAGGGAAAGCCCAGGGTTCCTAGCATGCAGACGTTTAACAGACGAGTCGCATCTTATTTCTGATCTCGGGGGAGACGGGATTGCAAAACGTAGCCCAGCTTTCGACATGCAAGCATCTCCCCCCCTTCCAACTGATGTGCACTTGAGAACACGACAACATCCTCGTTTTTCCTCCAATGTACAAGTTGCGAATGTTCGTGTGAAGGGGGCTCCATGTTTAAACTCACGCGTCAACGCCTCCCACACCACTTAACGCCCCCTCCCCGCGCCAACAAGCGATTTGAGAAGAAATTCTCATCGATTTCAATGGGACTTGACTTCTCACTTTAATGGGTTATAAAGACTTCAGGAGAGGAGGGGGTGTGGGGGGAGTAACTCTTAGGCACGCAAGAAGGCTGCACACGCGAAGGGAAGCACACGCGAAAAGCAGCCCGGGGGGAGAAGGGAAAGAGTTTATTAGGCTCCCACGATTACGAACTGGTTTGCTTCTTTCCTCCCTCTTAGCAACGCGTGTTTGAGAAAACAAGCCGCCACTCCAACTACAAGCAAGCCCGGGCAGAAATTTGCATAATCTCAACTATTTCCACAGTCACACCGGAAGCCAGCCTTTTAAAAAACACATTGCATTATGTAACGCAGGACCGGGGGGCTAGCGAGGCCCCCGCGCAATCGCCCCCCAACTTGCCCTTCTGTTTTGCAAAGCTTAGCGTGGCACTGAATGCCCCAGAAACAAAACAAGGGAGAGCTTTTCAAGACCAGGTTTTGGGGGGAGGGGGACTAGGAAGGAATTACATTTCCCTCCCTCCACGCCCCCCCACACACAACCAACGAGGGGGAGGACAGGCCCGGTTTTCAGGAATCACAACAACCCAGCAACCGCAGCAACAGAGCTCAGTTTGCTGGGCCGAGGCATCGCTTCGTCTTTTCCCGCAGAGCCCCAGCATGTGTGAATCGAACTTGCCAGCCGAGCGAAGCCTCGGGTCTCCTTTTCTCTTCGCATGGCTAGAGAAGGGGGGTGCAATGCACCAGCTGTCCCCCCACCCATCGAGTGGAGGGTCTTCCCAGTAACAGGACCCCTGCCCTGGGTAAAGGCCGGTCAGCCAACAGCCCCCCCCCCCCCACACACACACACACACACACACACGGAGCACCAGCAAGTCGCCCCCTCCGCCCGGCCACGGTCCCTCTCACTTTGCATAAAAGCACAGCGAATAAGGCAAATCGCTCCCTCCTCCACCCCCCGCCCCCCTAATACAAGGTAGATGGAAAGGAAAAACTACACACCAATCTCCTTCCAGAGTCTTTCTCTACCTCCATGTTCTGAAGAGTTTCATCTCTTAATTGTCAACAGTTCCTTCTTGGGCTCCTGCTGCAAGGTTCTCTTGGGAAGGGAGGGGGCTCCTGTTGGGGTTGGCCCCCCAAATTGGGGCGAGGACGAAGAGGAGGAGGAAAGCCCCTGAAAAAATCCCCCCCAAAAAAGATCCTTTAAAAACAAACCAGGAAACCAACCCACCCGCCCCCCTTCCAAAAGGCCATCCGGGGCTCTTGTAAAGTTTTTTTCCTCCCCTTTTGCAATTTTGCAATCAGCACTTTTTCTTTTAAAGGTGCTGGAAAAGGTTGACGGGGGGAGAAAGGAAGAGAGATGGAGGGGGGAAGCAGCAGGCGGGGCGATCGATCAATCAATCAACCAAGCAACCGGGGAGGGGGTGTTTTGTTTTGTTTGGGGGGAGGGGAGGCTTTTTTGATTTGTTTCTTATGCAAAAAAAAAAGTCCTTAAACAATCATTTCCCTGCACAGAGAGAGTGCAAGAGGGGCGGGGGGCAGGATGGAGACGGCGGCGGAGGAGGGGGCGCGCAGGCGTCATGGTAGTCCCCGGAACGTAAACATTGGGGAGGGGGAATCCCGGATTTGGGCACCCGATCGCTGCCTCCTCTTCTGGGTGCTGCTCATACTGGTGCGTGTTGTGGTTGGGTCACGAGTGTGCGAGAGCACGCAGGCGCCGAAGCGGGCGTGCTAGTGTGCGTGTGTGTGCGAACGTGTTCGGGAGAGAGG